AAGTCACTTAACCTCAGATTGCCTGACAAAATGGATCCACTGGAGAAGGAAATGGCAAACTATTCCAGTATCTTTGCCAAGAAAACCTCAAATGGGGTCATGAAGGGTCACATGTGACTGAACAACAACAAACAAAAAACTTTAAACAATTTTTTGTTATCCTTGGTTTTAGCCTTACTGATGGCATTCTTACAGGATTGGGCCATTGTTTTTAAACTCAGCCTCCACTGTCTCCCCCCTTGAATATCTTCCATGTAGCTATGTTAAAATTCAACAAATTCTTGTTGATTTGTTGGTTGGTGAATTCCCTGTATAACCATCTTGATCTCTTTAAATAACATTCTCTTTTTCCTCCTCATCAGGATGGCCTCTCCCTGTGTTTTCGAAATTTCATTCCCAGGAACTTCTCATCCTTCCTGGACTTAAGTCACTTGGTAAACTTTGAGGCCCCTACTTTTAAATGAACCCTTTGATGTTTGCTCTCCCAAAATCTGAGGGGTATGTCAAAGTCTTTACAGCTTTCTTCTCCTTCTGCACAATTTCTAAGAAGGAATAGTCACCTCCCCAGAAGATTCACTTCATTTTCATCCTAGCAACCAGTTCCTCAATTTTGATGAGAATCATATTGAGAACAGCATTCCCTTCCCCCCCCAACCCTCCCCAGGTTGGTTTCCCCACCTTTGCAGGATAAGATAATCAACATTAAGGTAAATAAAAAATGATCAGCTGCTCTATTTTTAACTGATATTTGCAATCCCTACTATAGCTAGGCCAGACTTGTAATCTGGAACTCTGTGACAGGTTTGTAATTTGTTTTCTGACCTCACCTCCTTCCTCTTTCTGTTTAGTTGGTGAAGATCAGATCACTTCCTGTTACTTTGGGAGTGGGGGTGGGGGATGAGAGTGGGAAATTGTAACTTGAAAGACAATGTGGAATAGTGGCTAGACCACAGGTCCAGAAGTTATGAAGATGTGTTCTGGTCTCACCTCTGACACACACTGGGTATGTGACCCTGGAAAACTCTTTAAGATTGTAAGGCATACAGAACAGTTTTCAATCCATCTTGGTAGAGGAAGTTTCCTACACCCATGACATCCAGTCAAGACATCACCCTGTGACGTCATTGGCCCTCTTCAAAAACGAACAACAAGGTTGCAGGTCTAGAACTCCCCACCCCTACTCCCATTCTCTTCCCAAAAGGATATTCTTCTAGTATTCCAGTCATGGGTCTCATCTCACCAAGTCTCAGCAACACATGTGAGATCAAGTGTGCCTCCTGACATTAGGCTCTTTAGTTTATCAAGGCCAGTCAACAAGCATTTTCTAATCACTGACTACAAAGAAAAGCAAAAAATGGTGGCAAGTAAAGTGTTGGGCCTGAGGTCCAGCCTCAGATACATCCTGGTTGTGTAATCATGAATGAGTCACTTCTGTTATCTGAGTTTCCTCATTAATAAAATAGCACCTACCTACCCAGAGTGCCAGGCCTGGAATCAGGAAGACTCATCTTCATGAGTTCAAATCTGGCCTCAGACACCTACTGCGTGACCCTGGACAAGTCATATAACCCTGTTTTCCTCAATTTCCTCATCTGTGAAATGAGATGAGGAAGGAAATGGCCAAACCACTCCAGTATCTGCCAAGAAAACCCCAAATGGAGTCACAAAGAGTTGAAAGTGACTGAAAGGACTGAACAACAACAAAAAAATCCCATTTTCCACAAGAAGCCTTTTTCTGTTCTCCCACAATGCTAGTGCCTTCCCTCTGAGATTACCAATAAGAGGTGACATGGTCAAACTACTATTTGATATAGATATAATGCTTCAAGCTTTTGCATGTCATTCTAGCAGAACAGATGATGAACTGGAGTAGGAAGGTTATTATTCCAGGGTGGATGTTACCTTCTGCCCATCAGGGAAGACCTGAGAAATTTGAACTTGGTGGAACTAATCCTACATAGGTATTGAATTAAATTTTGAGACTAATCTCCCTCCCTTCCCCAGATACTGCTGTGGTCTGGCTTAGGGAAGGGGAATTACTGGGTGCTGGGAGGAAATGTTTGTATGTTTGATCTCACCATACCTTTCAAGTAAATATTTCTTTGTAAAAGCTAATCTGATGTTATGGGGTCAAATGGAACTGGGGTACCAAGGCACTGGCCTCTAAAAAAAGAAGGGGAGAACATAGTAGGATTTCAAGCCAATTGCAGAAGAACCAGAGGCTCCCTCAACCCTCAAAGGGTACTGGAGAGCCCTAGGGGTGGAAGAATGTAACAGACCAGGTCCTCAGACAGGTAACCAATGGTACAAGTACACAGTTTATCTCTTCCCCCTGTGCATACTCACGGACTTTAATACTTTTCCATATTTTGCTATTTTCAAGTAATAAATGCAAATATATTATGTGAAACAGGGTGAAGAATCAAGTGCATTATATTTAGTTATAAAATTATAAATGAAAGTATAAAACTTTCAAAATTAAAACATAATGGGCAAAAAAAGACACTTCATAAATTTACATGGTAAAAAACTAAGTTATTTTATTTTAAATGGAAATAAATAGTACATAAATATATACACATATATATGGTAGGCATACAGACATGAATAACTACATTTAAAAATTTTTATATTTCTAAAGTTATGAAAAGTTTTAGGAATATAAATTTTAAAGTATGCTGTACCTATCACAATGTTTTATAAATCAGAAACATTTGGGTACAATGAACATGTAAGAAATTAATCTAAATGCAAGAATCTAAGACAACTCCAAAAGACTCATGATGGAAAATGCTATCCATATCCAGAAAAAGAACCATGGAATCTGAATGCAAATGGAAGCATACTATTTGCTCTCCTTTTCTTTTGTTGTTTTGTTTTATTTCTTCTTTCTCATGGTTCCTCCCACTAGTTCTAATTCTTCTATACCTTATGACTAATGCGAAAATATGCTTAATATGAATGTATAAGTAGAGCCTATATCAGATTACACACTGTCTTGGGGAGGAGGTAGGAGAGGGAGGGAGAGAAAATTTAAAACTCAAAATCTTAAGGAAGTGAATGTTGAAAACTAAAAATAAATAAATTATTTTTAAAATTTTTTTAAAAAGAAATTAAATCTAATATTCATAGAGAACTCTGTAATGGAGTAGAGTAAGAATCAATAAAGGTTCAGGATGCAGTTAATCACAAAAAGTGATTTGTTTTCTATCTCACATCAGTACGAGCTGAGGCATTGCTGCTTATGACACAGGTCATTTTCTACTTCCTACCTGGAAGGGATAGCATATGACCAAAATGGTTTATCTTATGTATTATCTAAACTATTGTACTTTAGGCCTGATTTTAAAAATTAGTTTTGAAATTATTAGGCAGAAAAAAAGTGTTTTTTTTTAAAATGTCGATGTCTGAGATAAAGGGAAGGATAAATACAAACTATCCATCAGATGCTGTTTTGTTTATATCTACACTAACATGTCTATAGAAAAAACACCTAATGCTTATATAGTTTAATATCTACAGGTTTGGGGTTTTTTTTTGTTTTGTTTTGGGTTGTTTTGCTATCTTTGGTAAAACCCTCATAAAAGGGATCTAGCAAAATAGGAATAGATCCATCATTTTAGTCCTCTTGTTACAAAAGAGAGTGTAAATGTCCCGTCTTGTGAGACTGGGATCAATATCTTCCTTGCTTGTGCAGATGTGGGGAGAAATGATAGAACTCTAGGATTTAGGGACATATTAATGCAGAGAGTCTCTCTCATGGTACTTAGAGAGCTTTTCCGTTGTCCTTGAAATGTCCAAATGAAAAGTTTTAAGGACAAATGGATTGTGACTTTTTGGGATGGTCTCTACTTTGAGCACAGCCTGAGATGTAATCAGTTCACTCTATAAGTATATAAGATAAAAAAACCTTTGGTACCAGAAAGGAAAACCAAAATATTATAAACACCACAATGGATTTGTAACAGTTTTAGTTCTGAAGAGTCTTAAAAATGACTTGCTCTCAATGCCAGAGTGTTTTTTTTTCCTTGTAGCAAGTGAAAAGAACACATTTCTGTTTATTTCCATTTTAATATATTTTTTTTCATAGTTGCAAATAACATTGGCTTAAAATCATTATTTGAACATTGTACCATTTGTTAAGGTTAGGGTAGAAATAGCCAAACTCTCACTTTGTTCTTTCTCTAGTCTTGAAACAGGATCTATTCAGGGGTCCACTATGACCAGCTTTCTAATGAAAGAGAAATTCCTACCAATAAGTTAATCTGTTCAAAGATGAACTATTTTCTCCCTTACAGTGTTTTGTTGGTACCTCTTGCAGCCCACTGATTATTATGAAAGAGGTTTTCACTTCTCTTGAGAGATTTACTTATGAATAGCAATGTAATGTTTTTGTTATCTTCAACCTCTACCTTCCCTAATATTCAGCAAAGCAGTATTTGTTTTGTTTGGTTTGGGGGTTTTTTTGGTTTTTGTTGTTCACTTGTTTTTTTGCTTGGTGCATTTTGTTTCCACTACTTTTAGGCCAGCTTAATCACTTTATGCTCTAATTTTCTATCCGTAGTTATTTCTTTTTTCTTTTCTTTCTTTCTTTCTTTTTTTTTTTTTTTTTTTTTGGTGATGCAATCAGGATTAAGTGACTTGCCCAAGGTTACACAGCTAGTAAGTATCAAGTGTCTGAGGCTGGATTTGAATTCAGTTCCTCCTGACTCCAAGGCCGGAGCTTTATCCACTGTGCCACCTAGCTGCCCCTATCCGTAGTTATTTCTAACTACACCTTCTGGGAATTTCTGAACAGTGATCATGTATGTCTTCCACTAAGTTGTAGTTAAGCCATCCTAATTTGTGAGAAAGAAGATGATAGAAAATTGAAGAGGAAAACAGTAGAAAAAGCTACAAATTAAACTATGGGCGTGTAGCAGCCTTAGGTTCTGTTCACATTACTTAATTTTCACTTTCCTTTCAATTTCAGAATTTTATTAGCAGATACAGGTGGTAAAAATGTTTCTCACTTTTTGAAAAAAAAAGTGTCTCTTTCCTCCATCTACTGTGAAATAATCTCTCCTGTTTCTTCAGGCTTATCTAACGAAAGCACTTTAGGCCCCAGTAAGCCAATGAGTAGTGCCCCATTTGGAGCTGTCATCAAGATTGCCAGAAACGCCATAGTCATCACGTTCTTTGCATACACTTCCAAATGAGTTTGGTTCCTCCTTCTTGTTTCTTCTAAAGCAAGAGGTCCTAATACGGCCTATGTTTAGGAGGGAAAAGTTTGAAGCAGTGAGAAAAAAAGTTAAATAAATTATTTATATTTAAGAAAAAGCATAAAACCTTCCTTGATTATTAAAATATCCAGCATTTAGCATGGTTAGGACATGATAAGTTTATCATACGATAAACTTTTTGGTGTGTAAACGTACCAGTTCGTAAAGTACCAGTTCATTATTCAAAAGGGAAAAAAAGAAATAAAAAGTACTGAAAACACTTAAGAAATAAGCATTCCATTCTAAAGCCTCTCTCATAAAGAATAGGAAACATGATATAGAGGAAAGAACCTCGGACTTTGAGTCCAAACATCTGGATTCGAATCTTGGCTTTACTTCTTGTCACTTGTGTGACCGTGGGCAAATCACTTCCTTTTCTGAGCCTGTTTCCTTGATTTCCTCACTGGGTTGAATTAGATTCCCTCAATGGCCCTCTACAACTCAAAATCTATGACCAAATGAATTGCCTTTGGTATCAGACTAAGTGAAAATTAGGTAACACTTTCAGAGAAAAAGAAATCTAGGAACCTTCAGCATTTTTCTTTAGGCCATTTGGTGGAAGAATGAAGGAACGATATACAGAGCTTTTGAGATTGATTTTAGAGGGAATAAAAAAGGGAGGGTCAGGGGCAGCTAGGTGGTGCAGTGGATAGAGCACTGACCCAGGAGTCAAGATGATCTGAGCTCAAATCCAGCCTCAGAGACTTGACACTTACTAGCTATGTAACCCTGAACAAGTCACTTAACCCTAGCAAAAAAAAAATAAAATAAAATAAAAAGCTTAGCAAAAAATAAAATTAAATTAAAAAAGGAGAGTAGAGTGGAGCATAATGGTATAACATCAGATTTCTAATATAACAATAGATATGTGGGCCTGGGACACTTAAAAATGAGTCACTCTCAGAGTCACTGACCTGCCAGGGGATGTGACCTTCTCTTTCTTTGACCAGACCTGTGGTTTTATTGGTGTAAGGTGCCAAGGCATATTGGTACCTGATCTGCACCGTAGAGGCTGAAAGAGTTATTTGGTGGCTGTAAGCAAAGTAACAGGTTGTAGCTTCCTAAGAAAGAATTGCTAAGGTGGCAGAGCATCAGCTGGACAAAATTTCAGGTAGGTAGGTAGGGGGAACACTTTCCTAACTACCGTGGCACTTTCATAGAATATCACTTCCTGAAGGGCAGAGACCATCTCATTTTTGTGCTTGTAACCCCTCCTAGTAGGGACAGTGCCTGGCACATTGGGAGTACTTAATATATGCACTAATGTTCATTTCTACCTCTTTACCTTTAGCTTTTGCTATTCTCCCTCTTCATCCTTCTTCACCTAGATAGGTTTCAACTATCCTTCAATTCCCATCACAGTTTCTAGATCCTCTATGAAACCTTCACTTATACTTCTAGTTAATACTGGCCTTTCCTCTTCCTCTCCACCATAACACATTGTCTTAATTGCAAATTTTGGTTATATTCCACTTAGTACATCATTCGATATTATTTTATATCTAACTTTCCATTTTTTATGTGCTGCCTGGTGTCCCCTAAAGACTAATCTTTTAAAAAGTATAATCTTTGTCTTTATATGTGTACTTCTGCAAACCCAAAGGCACAAACATTCAATAAATACTTAAACTGAAGCATCAGAAACTGGCTTTCTGTTTCCCATCCACAATATTCTACCTCCTGTGTCCATGTCTTTGCATGGACAGTACCCCATATCTAGAAGGCGCTCCCTCCTGACCCTTACTTCTTGGAATCCTTGACTCAGCTCAAGTGCCACCTCTTACAGAAAAACTATGCTGATGCCCCCAGTTACTGGTGCCTCAAATCCGAATTCTTTGTATCTACTTTGTATTTTGTATTTAATTGTACATGTCCTCCTGTCCCTAATCTTAACAAAATGTAAGCTCCTTGAGGGCAAGAGCTATTTTATTTTATTTTATTTTATTTTTTCCTTTGTATCTTCAGTGCCTATCAACAATTGCCCAGCACATGGCAGTCCCTGAATACATGCTTGATGAATGAATGAACCTTAAAATTTCTGAAATTAGTTTTTAAAACAGTTTAAGACTTTAACTTTAGCCTTTACAACACCAATGAAGTACAAAACCAAAAGAAACCAGTATGTAAATGCAGACCACTACAGACTGAAAACTAAAATACAACATCAAAGGTTCTTGAAAGAATTAAATTCATTTGTATTCAACAATCTTGGCCTTTATACCCTGATTAGGTATTTATGGATTCTAAAGCTTTAAGCATTTTGCCAAATTAAGACAATTTTTTCAGTCCTGTGTCTAAATTCCTAGTCATCTGATGAATCAATTTCTTATTCAAAAGTTTTTTTATTACTTTAGCAAATGATTAGCTTGAGAAGAAACTCTGCACATGTTAATGATTCTGTAAAACATATTTCACATTCAAATTGAAACAGAGAACTGTGGGAAACATTTAGTAAGTGAAACTAACCACTAAACACCCATTCAGCTAAGTTATCTAGGTAATTTAAGTAACACACACAGACAAAGATAGAGACTGGGCCTGTGACTGCAAGAGAATAGGGAATTCTCTAACCAATGCAGGCTGCCAAATTCTCTTTGACTTAGCTGCTTAGAGCATGGACAGCTTAAGTGACTTGCCCCCCCCCCCCATCATATGACCGTCGCGGGTCAGAAGTCACAACTTGGATCCACGTCTTTTCTGGTTCCAAGGATGGTTCTATGTCCCCTATACTAGGTTGCCTTAATACACAGATACACACATGTACCTGTACCATGTACTGTATATATATCTGTACACACATGTAGCTATACTGTAGCCAAAAGGATTCAAGACCTTGAATCAGCCAATCAATAGGCATTTATTAACTGCCTACTATGTGCTAGGCACTGGGGATACAAAAGCAGAAAATCATCTCTGTTCTGAAGGAGCTTATTTTTTTTTTCAAATTTCCTCCATTCTCTTCTTTCCCTTAAAAATAACTCATACTTAAAGAGCCCTTTAAGTTATGTGAAATGCTTTCCCCTTAACAACACAAGAAGTGTGTTATATTATAAACAGTGTAAGTATTATTGTGCCATTTTACAGACAAGAAAAATGAGGCTCAGAGGTATAACTTGTCTGAGTTCCCACAGCTAGTAAATGTGTTTTTCTGAATTCAAGAAATATTATATCACAGGGCTTTCAAACCCTTTGAATGGCTTGAGGTTTCCCTGGATAAACTACAATTGTCAGATTATCAAGGAAGATTGAGGAACAGCATTTTTGTTTTCTGATTTCAATAGAACGAACACTTATTTATTTAGACTGATTTTTTGAGGGGAAGCAGAAGTATTAATTACATCCAAGGTACTCAATATTTTAGTTTTCAAGGTACCTACTGTCTTTCACCATTATTCATTAAAATAATTTTAAAACAGTTTTTTCCATAATTCAATCTATTTGTATTTTCTAATTCAGCTGTAAAATGACCTTAAGTTTTTTTTTTAAGGGATCAATCAAAGGTATACTTTCTGTATACACTTGCAAAATGACCAGAGCAGTCATCTTATACCTAAGTTTAGGAGTGACCACCCTCAAAGCATGGTCACAGCAATCAAAAGTTGTAGCTAAGTAGGTTTCTTGTTGTTAGTTTTGTTTTTTGTTTTTTTTTTTTGGTGAAGCATTTGGGGTTAAGTGAATTGCCTAGGGTCACACAGCTGGTGTCAAGTGTCTGAGGCAGGATTTGAACTCAGGTCCTCCTGACTCCAGGGCCAGTGCTCTGTCCATGTAGCTGAGTAGTTTTGACAACTTTCTGTTTAATGGGCCCAAATACCTGATGACTATTACCTCCTTCCAGTGGTTAAATTCCAACAGCCTTTCTTTACCTAGAGAATATGCTATTATTCAGGTCCTGATTTTCTAGCTATGGGCTATCTGTACCTCTTCTTCTGATGTCACCTCCTTCACTACCATTTTCATTAGCATCTCTACCACACAGTGAAGGAAGAAGGAGTCTATCTGGCTACTTTTTCATAGGAGTTGGGGTGGAAGGAGAAAGTTCTAACCTTGAATAGATCTGAAGATTCCATTTGTCCACTCTATCCATTTCATCCATACTGAGGTTAAAGAGTTGACTAGATTTTGCTAATAATTGGATCACATCTACCTGTACAATGGATCCATTTTATTTTATACTTTTTGTTCCTGCAAAAGCTTATGCTAGGCAGGACTTTGGAGGTAGAATCATCATTAGCCTCGAGCCTACGCTGGTAAATTTTCTACCCTCTCCTTCCTTTTTGTGCTCCTCTGCTTGAAGCTGGGCAGAATCCACCTCAGACACTTACCAGCTGTATGACCCTGGGCAAGTCACTTCACCCTGTTTGCCTCGGTTTCCTCATCTATCAAATGAGCTGAGAAGGAAATGGCAAACCACGCCAGGATCTTTGCCGAGAAAACTGTGAAGGGGTCACCAAGAGTTGGACATGACTCATTGACAAAACACCAAGTTTGTGGCTAATCATCAGAGAAGTCAAGGTACAAGTGACCTCAAGGGCCGTCTGCTCCAATCCCCTCATTCTACAGAGGAGAAAACTGAGGTCTAGGAAGGTTGGGTGACTTCCCCAAGGTCATACCGGTAACAGGCATCAGAGGCAGGATTCAGCCCAAATCTTTTGGTTCCAGAGCCCATGCTTTTTCCACTACCCCAAACCTGTCTGCTTGAGGCCAGCAACAACATGATGTGGCAAAGGGTAGGTGGCCTTCCCTCGACTCTCTAACTTCCTGTGGCACCGATTAAAAGCAGAAGACTGAGACGTAGATAGTAGTTTCACTTCAGTTACATTTCAAGAAGTTGCGTAACATTTACAAGATTTATGAAAGAGGTTTTGAAGGAAGGAAATAGTGACAAGGCTCAATTCCATTCATTGGAATAAGTGCTTGTGGATTAGAAGATTGTCGTGGGAATGTCAATAAAAGGCAGTAATTCTAGAAGACTTATAGACTCTGGGACATTCAAAGCATAAGAAGTGACTCAAACAATCACACTCAAGTCAGAAAAAGTATCTCTCTTTTCAAAGTCTAATTTCCATTTTGAATAGCAAAGTGTTGCTTCGTAGTATTTTGTAAAACATCTCTCACGAAAATCAGGAGTTTTCCTCTTGAAAGTGAAATTTTTAAAAGAACATATCAACATTATTAGGTAGCTTGACTTTTTCAAATTATTTCCAAAGTTTGAAGAATATTCACTGAATCACAGCATTCCAAGGGTTACCCGAAGGCTTACACTCCTTCCCACCCACCCCTGCAACATACCCAGCGAGAATGTTAAACCCAGGCACCCATCCTATCTCAAGCTCATTTGAGAATATGACAAGCTTACACTCCAGGATTATATCTCGATCACTGATAAAAATGCTAGCTCTGCAGAGTCAAACACCAACTTCTGGAGCAAATCCACTAGAGCACCCCTTTCAAGTTGATGCTGAACCTGTAACGAACGTGCTTTAGCCATCCAGCTTCCTGAACTGTGCTGGTTCCCTTTCTTGTTGTGATTAGAAACACTGTCTATCAGGCTTCTAGTAGAGAACTCAAAATGACCACCATGATGGAGTAATTCCAAGAACCATATATAAGCAATTAATATCGTTAATTGCTCTTTCCCCTCCTTACCTGCACAGTGGCTTTGGGGATCCATGACAAGGCAACAAAAATTTTTTCCTTATATGAAAAACCAGCAAAAGACACCAATAAGAATGTGACAGTAATTCGAACCAACAGTGACAAGCTCAATGTACCAACACAGAAGCCTAGAACAAATCCAAAAAGCCTGAGTTAATAATTGAAACTGGCAACATATTAGTCAAGAAGAACTTCTTGAGGATAACTCATTGCAAAGAACAGCAATAACATCTTAGTCTTAGTTTTAATTTTTTTTTTTTAGGCAATTGGGGTTAAGTGACTTGCCCAGGGTCACACAGCTAGCAAGCATCAAGTATTTAGTTTGAGGCCGGATTTGAACTCAGGTCCCCCTGACTTCAGGGCCAGTACTCTATCCACTGCGCCACCTAGCTGCCCCCCAACACCTTAGTTTTGCATTCTGTTTTTTATGTTTTAAAGTTTTTGTCTTTTAGTTTTTTAATTTGAAAAAATACAGAAATGTAAATATGATTGAATATAAAACAAAACTTATTGTTGCTGGCTCTGAGAAAAATGATTCCATTGATGGAGTACAAAGTAGTATCAAGTTATGGTGGTAACACAAATACCAGCAGAGGCAACATTTCTGTCATTCTATGTCAACAGACACCTAAGCTTTCATATAAAGAAAGGTCCTTATCATGTCAGCTGAGCTTTTTAAATGATCTATGGATAGAAATCTGATCTGATTTTATGTTCCCAGATCATTCAGATTGGCTACTTCAGGCAGTATTTGTTTACAACACATAAAAAGAAATGGATGTGCTGAATATAGCTTGTACTGCTAGACAGGTAAAAAAAGGGGCCCTAAGGGGGACAATGTAAAAGAAACTCTGAAGTATTATATTATTCAATATTTCTAAAAACTCCTTCTCCTCTAATATATTACCAATAGTATTTGATTCAAGACTCGTAACAGACACCTCTGCTCCAACCAGGCCAAAAAGAAGCGGTTGAAAAATGTGCCATGTTCTTGCAATTATATCTTGCACTCTTGCCTGTGAGAAAAGGAAAATAAATGGATAAGTTATTAGAGAACTGAGCCACATCAAATGTAATTTTATTTTATTATAAATATTTGACAGCTCAATCTTGAAATAGTCCAGTTTTGGGAGAGTAAACCTTTTCCAACCCATTTGCATCAGATTGATTATTTATTTTTTTTAATTTGAAAATAAGTTTTTATCTGTTTTTTTAACAGCAAAAATTACAAAATGTATTTCTGATTCAAGCTTATCACAAAGTAATAGTTATAAAAGCAAAATTAAAATTAAAAATAACCAAAATTGTACCTAAGATAAATCTACACTGACATGAAAACATGTTGTCATTTAGAATATTTTAGCAGTTTGGACAGAACTGTTGTTGTTTGTCCTTCATTCTTTTTATTATTATTATTATTATTATTATTCATTTATTTTTAGTTTTCAACAATCACTTCCATACGTTTTTGAGTTTTAAATTTTTCTCCCCCTCCCTCCTCACCTCTCTCCCCAAGACAGTGTGCAATCTGATATAGGCTCCACATATACATTCCTATTAAACATATTTTCACATTAGTCATGTAAGGAAGCGTTAGAACCAACAGGATGAATCATAAGAAAGAGGAAATAAAACAAAACAGAAGAGAAAAAAAGAGCAAATAGTATGTTTCGATCTACATTCTAACTCCATAGTTCTTTCTCTGGGTGTGGATAGCATTTTCCCAGATTGATAATTTAGTAGACTTGTTTTTGTACTGCTCTAGATTTAGAGGAAAGGCAAATGTAGTATAGAGTGAGCCTTGGAGCCAAGAAGACTAGGGTTCGAGTCGAACACATACCGGCAGGGTATTCCTAGCCATGTCCTTCACAGTTGGCAAGATAGCTCTCTCAGATAAAGACACACAGAAGGGACTGACCTGTTTTGGTAGAGGAAGTTCCTCACCGGGACATCCCCAATCAACAAAATTACAGGTCCAATCTTCATTCTAGCCCCTATCTCTCTACATTCGGAAACCAAAAAAAGATGAGAAAAAAAGCAAAAACAAGACAAAAACAAGAATTTTACCAAGTGGTCATTCTTTTAGGTGCATTTCATCCTTGTGAAACATGCCTGTTAATACTGTTTTCTCTTTCAACTCTTGTGTTTCTGCTTTCACATCTGCAAATGAGGAGGCTGGACTGACTGCTGAGACCTCTCATGCTAGGGAACTTCTGCATCCATACCAATATTCCTTAAATACCCTAACTGTCCAGTTGCTCAGCCTAGTCACTTCCCATGATTTCTTCTTCCACTCTACCACAGCTACACATAGGGATGGCTATGCCCTTGATCTTACCAACACCCCCAAGAGTTCCACTTCCGTGTCTAAGAGCTCTGAATTTCCTCTCTCTGATCAAAATTGCTTATCTTTCCACCTCTCCCTATACTTCACTCCTCTTAAACTTAGTCGTCTTCCTCACCATGACTTCCAATTCCTTTTTTCCCTCAATTCTATCCCAGGCCATCATCTCTACTTTGGCTACACTCTCCTCTCTTGCCAGTGTAGATCCTTTGGTGAACCAGTTCAACTCTGCACTATTTGCTCTTCTTGCATCTTTAATTTAGTTCCTTCAACTTCTTGTAGCTCACACCTTGCCAAACTCCAACCCTGGATTTTCCCATTCTCTGCCTCTTTCAATTCTTCTTGTCAGCTGTTCAATTGAGCACGAAACCATGCTGTTTGGATCCACTACAAATACATGCTAGTTAATCTCAACTGGGCCCTTACTTCAGCAAGGCAATCCTCCTACTCCCCCTCCCTAATTGATCACTAATCCCATTCACCACAGTAATTGTTCCAAACCTTTTTTTAAGTCTCCCACACCACCTCTCAACTCATACTTTATAAAAAAATTGAGAACCCCCTCCTCTTCTTGTCTCATCATCTCACATTTATCTGTCATCATTTCCCACTATGTCCTCCCCTACTCCAATCTGATGATGAGGTTGCCCTTCTGCTCTTCAAGGAAAATCCCTCTACCTATACTTTTGATCCCATCCTATCTACTACAGCAGATTGCCTCCACTAGATTTAAAGTTGAAAAGAATCTTTGAAGCCATCAATTTTCAGCTAAACTCCTCGAAAAAGCCAACACTTTTTCATCTCTCATGCTCTTTTAAACTCTCTGCAATTTGGCTTTTAACTTTATCATTCAACTGAAATTTAAATCTCCACAGTTAACTAATGATTTTTCAGTCACCGAATCTAATGGCCTCTTCTCTGTTCTCTTTCTTCTTGACTACTTTGTAACCTTTGTACTGTTGACCCCTTTCTCTGCTTGAATTCTCCTCCTGACCTACTCGTCTGATCATTCCTTGCCGATTTATTTTGCTGGATCTTTATCCATATCACATCCACCAATAATGGGTGTCCCCAAAGGCTCTCTCCTGGGCTATGTTCTCTTTTCTTTCTATACTCTCTCATTTGGTGAGCTCCTCAGCTTCCATGGATCTCTAGAGAGATGGTTTCCAGATCTATCTATCCAGCCCTAGTTTTTCTCCTAAGTGTCAGTCCCACATCACGAAATGCCTATTGGATATTTTGAACTGGATGTCCTATAGCTCAAATTCAACTTGTCCAAAATAGAACAATGAACCTCTTTGGGGTTCTTAACCTTTTTTGTGTCATAGATCCCTTTGGCAGTCTGGTAAAGCCTATAAACTCCTCAGAATAATATTTTTAAATATATAAATTGCAGAAGAAAGTAATTATATTAAAATCTATCTGTCATCCATCCATCCATCTATCTATCTATTTATCTATCTATCTATCTATTTATCTATCTATCTTTCTAAAAACAAGTGCATGGACCCTGGGTTAAGAAACCCTGCCCTAAGACAATACAAAATCCTTTGTTTGACACATGACATTGACATGCCTTTTCACAACCTGACCCCTTCTTCCCTTTCTAATTTCATTTCTACTGCCCTCTATACACTATGATCCAGCTAAACTGACCTACTAGTTATTCCTTGCACATGACATCCGGTAAGAGTCCCTGTTTTCTTTAAGACTCAGATCAAACACCTATAGATGGTCTTTTCTGGTCTCCCTAACTGCCAATGCTATATCCTCTTAGGTTTCCCTACCTAAAATGTGACACCTAGAAATGAACACAGTATTTCAGATATGGTCTGACCAGAGTCGACCTTTCCTTACCTTGTGGTAGATGCTATAAATTATAATGTTAGGTTGGGCGGCTAGATGGCACAGTGGATAGAGTGCCAGGCCTGGAGTCGAGAAGACTCATCCCCCTAAATTCAAATCCGGCCTCAGACACTTATTAGCTGTGTGATCCTGGGCAAGTCATTTAACCCTGTTTGCCTCAGTTTCCTCATCTGTAAGATGAGCTAGAGAAGAAAATAGCAAACCACTACCACAATAAATTTTGGGCTGCCACATCATGTTGTCTCATATTTAGGTTGCAATCCAATGAAGCCCCTAATCTTTCACATGAAATCTGTTAATAAAGATATCCCCATCATATATGTATACACACACACACACATATATATTTTTTGCTTTTTGGTGAGGCAATCAGGATTAAGTGACTTGCCCAGGGTCACACAGCTAGTAAGTGTCAAGTGTCTGAGGCCAAATTTGAACTCAAGTTCTCCTGACTCCAGGGCCAGTGCTCTATCCACTGCAGCACCTAGTTGCCCCCCCATCCTATATTTGTACAATTTTTTTAACTCAAATGTGAAAGTTACCTTCCTAGAACATAGGTTTAATAATGTCAGCCCCTTACTCAATAAACTCCAGGGGCTTCCTATCACTTCCAGGGTCAAAGAGAAAACCTTCTTTTTGGCTAATAAAACCCTTCATAACATGGCCCCTTCCTACTTTTTCAGTCTTCTTACACCTTACTCCCCTCCATATAGTCTAAGATCCAGGAACACTGGCCTCCTTATTCTTCCTTGAACAGGACACTTGATCTCCCAACTTGGTGCCTTTTCACTGGCTGTCCTGCATACCTGAAATTCTCTTTCTCCTTATCCTCATCTTCTGGATTCCCTAGTTTCCTTCAAGTCTTAGCCAAAATCCCAGTTTCTATATGCATTCTTTCCTGGTTCCTTTCAATATTAGTGCTTTTCCTCTAAGACTATCTTCAATTTACCTGCATACATTGTCTATGTGCATACTTGTATGCATGTTGTTTCCCCCATTAGAATATGAGATCTTTGAGGAGAGGGACTATTCTTGTCTTTCTAATTTTCAGGGATTAGCACAGTGTCTAGTTGACTTAACTTGAAATTTCGTCTTACTGGATAACTGGCCTATCATTCCAGGTTGTTGATATCTTTGAGAATCATGTTCTTTTCATCTAGAAGATGGATAAGCACACCTATTCTCCATCTCAACCTCCAGCTCTGTAGCATCTGCAAATCTCAAAGGCAATCCATCTAGGATATTAAAGCTTAAAACTGCATTAAGCCTTTTGGGATGCTCTGGGAAGACACTGACAAAAATGTCTGCCAGAATGTGTCCAAGACAGAGCTTTTAAACACTCTTAAGTGATTTCTTAAGAAAGACAACTTCCCAAGTTGAGCTGGGTCATTAATCAACACTTTTGAGTCCTGACATTCGACGGGTTCAGAATCCAGCTAACTATATTATCATCCAGATCATAAGGAGTGCATGAATGAAGTCTGATCATGTCACCTATGGAACTTCCCCGATTGATAAGTCTAGTGATCATACAAAAAAAAATAAAAAAGAAGTATAGCATTAGGTGAGAGCTGGGCTTGGAGCCAAGGAGACTTGGGTTCAAGTCCTGCCTGGCACATACTGGCTGGGTGATCCTAGCCATGTCCCTTAGCCTCACAGTTGGCAAGGCAGCTCTCTCAGATGAAGATACACAGAAAGGCCTGACCTGTTTGGGTAGAGGAAGTTCCTCACTGGTACCTCCCCACATCAACAAAATTACAAGTCTAGTCCCTATGCCTCTACATTTGGAAACAAAAGCAAAAATGA